GACCAGGTCAACATTGTGGTGGCTGTGTAGCTCATATTTCCTTTTGCCATCCTGGACGGCAAACATGTGGGTTCATGTCAATGGATGGGTCAAGCTTCCGCCTGGAGCACAGGTCTGGCATGAGGCTGAGTCGGGTGCACGCAACAAGCGGACTTGGGAACCCCCAAGCCGAAGCAGCGAAGACCCCACACCACATGAGACTACAGATTATTGGGCGGGTCGTGGCTGGCGGAACTACGATCAAACAGAAGGAGTTGCCATCCAGTCAAGTCAGGACACTCCAGTGGACATGGAAGAAGACAATGACCGTCCGATTCAGCAAAAGAGCAAACACCAGAGGATGACATATCCTTGCGACTCCTGGGAGGCAGACTCCTGGGATAATCCAAAAGACTCCTGGTGGAAATGGACATGGACTCCAGGCTGGAATGATTGGAATGAGTCCTACCCTTCTGTGCTGGATGACTCTGTGGGAGAGGCCAACCCGGGTGAGGTCAACCCGAACCCGGAGGCCAACCTGAACCCGGAGGGTGCCAGTTACACAAGTCTTCAAGGAGAGGAGTCAGTGGACGCAACAATGGCAGGTGCTGTGCAGTCAATGCAATTGAGTTCAGAGATTCCATTGCCTCCATTGCCTTCAGATTCCAATGCAGCTTTGCTCTTGCCGAATCCGAATGTGATCGCTTCTGATGCTCCGGACTTGGTTCTTCCAGCAGAAACAGCAGCAGCAGCTGCCTCGAGCTCTTCAGGGGATTTGGCTCTGAGTCCAACCCGGTCTGAATCTCAGTTGCCAATGGCCAGTGGCGATGGTGTGCACACTAAATTCAAGTTGCAGCTTCTGAAACATAAGAACAACGAGTCCAAAAAGAGGAAGAGCCAAAGGAATGACAAGCACAAGTGACAAATTTTGAACAACTGTATATAGGATCAAACAAGTTGAATTCACTACTTGTGCTTTTTTGCAGAATTGCAGCAGCACCGTGCTCAATAACAGCTTCTTCCTTTGCCATGTGTATAGTTTATGTTGGCTTTTTTTGCATAGGGGCAAGCACGATTGTGACATTCATGTCAAAATTCCAGTGCGGTTCTTTGGGATGTTACTTGTTCAATTGCTTTGCCACCACTGTCAGTGAGGTCAGGCCATGTGATGTCCTCCATGAGTTGTGCATATCTTGGCTCAAGGCAGAAACATGACTTTGGCTGAAGAACAGCAATGGGCTTTGGAAGCAGTGCAGGCTCTACCGCCTACTTGGCCGGAGGTGGAAGGAAACCAAGTCAGTGATTGCTTGTTACATTTGTTGCAGTGTGACCTGCCATTGGCCTGGTCTCATCGATTGCTTGTCTTCAAAGCCAAGACCATGTTGGCGGCTCTCATAGCTCCGTAACCCCATGATGTGCCAGCAAACAATTCTGACGATGATGATACACTTCTGACAGCTGATTCATTTCAATTGAGGTGGCATTGTGTCAGTGCCTTCAGAGCAATCATCCTGATGTGTTTGTACTTTGAACAAAACCGCTGTGTTGTTTGTTAAATCATAATACATAACCATAATAAAGTGTTGCTGCCCCACTGAGGTCACTACGTGCTGGAGGATCTGCAGGGGCTCTGTGACTTGGAGATTGACATTTCCGATTCACGGTCAACATGGCAACAAGTGAGGACTCTCTTGGCTGACTGCTTTCAGTCAAATTCAATTTCGCAATGTTCACACCCGGGCCAGAAAGGGTCGGGCAAAACCAAAAGTGAGATTCGGCAGTGGTACAAGGACAATACTTACTAGCTCCCTTGTTTCTGCTAATACGGTGCGGACCAACACGGCTCGGAATGGCTGCAACAAATAAAAAGCTCTGTGCTTTTCGGAGCTTTCTGTACTGTAGTCAGCTGTATGTCCTGCAGTGTTGCTTCAACTTTGAATTGTCAATTGTGTTTGCCTGAATGCTCAAGGGTTCGGTTTGAAGTACCATTGCTACAGGAACACCAATTGCCTGTAGTTGCAGAAGCCATGGCAGGGCTTATTCCCCGACGCCACAAGCGGGCCCGTCTGGCGGATTCCAGGAATGGCAATGGACAGCACATGGTCATGACAGGCCAGATGCAGCCGACCATGCCCCCAATGATGTTTCCAGCTCATCCTTACATGACAATGAACCCCGGCACATTGATGGGCATGAACCCGGGTATGAACATGCCCATGATGCACCCATGCACTGGCATGCAGAATATGTCGATGCCCATGCACGGTTCGGCAAACCCGGCTGCTGCGATGCAGGGCAATCCGATGATGAATGCCCAGATGAATATGATGCCAGGATTCTCCCCCCCCAGGTGAATGTGGTGGATGACGATTCGGAACAGGAAGAGGAGGAGGAGGAATCCGACACGGCCACAGCACAACATCAGCAGGTGGTTCCGGAAGTTCCATCAGCATCGGGCTCGGGAAATGAAGTGCCTCAGGGCCCTGTGACAGTTCCTGCTCATCCTGTGCAGCCCCGCCCACCACCCACAGTCGGCTATGTTTACAACAAGGGGGAGGATGCCACAATCACAGGGAGCACAACAGTATTGAAAGGTCTTCCAAGGACAAGGCTTGTGGCCAGCTTGGAGAAATTGTACGGTGAGCTGGAGGCGGGACAGGAATTCCCATTTGTGTCACTTGTTTTTGTTTTTGCATTTGACAATTTGTCTAACATGATGAGAAGATGCTATGAACGCTGAGGCTGGGTACCTCAGTCAATTGAGCCAAAGGGGACTCTTGGTACTTATGTGGATGCTGACGAGGCTCAGGCCAAGTAGCCGGCTCTCTTATCTCCGTGACTTGTCAGATGTTATTGCCAGGACACTATAGAGGAAATGTCATTTTGGGTCAGTGAATGATCATGCCATTACGGGTTGTTCGTTTGGTCGGTTTTTTCAGCTTTATTATTCATAAGAACATTCAATTGAGACTTCATCTTTGGCTGTGCAGGTGTGATATCCTACGAAGACTTGCACATGCGGTTACAAACGGCATTCAATCGTGTCCGACGGTGCGAACCACAGTTCATGGAACAGTTGGCCTCGAAGCTGCCCCTGAATTTGACAGACGCTGCAATAGAGGAGATTGCTCGCCCTCTGGGCTGGCAGGACTCATTCATGAAGCCTGTCAGCATCTGGTTTGCGAAAGCTCCAACCTCAGGTGACGTTGGCATGATTTTGCAGGCAGGGGCGAAAGCAACAATGCCGCCAGCACGTGCCCGCCCAGCACCTGTGGCAGTAAGTGCAACTGCAAGCCCACCACCTGCACCGGCAAAGGCGCCTCTGCCGGCACATGCCAAGGCTGTCACACCTGCCCCGATCCGGGTCCCACCTGTGCAGCACCCCGGGTGCCCCCTCCGCCCAAGCAGGCCGGCCATGCAGCAATGCCAACAATGCCTTCGGCAGAACCATCAACAAACACATCCCCTGCTGTGGCTCCCAAGGCTATGCAGACTTTGAGCAAAGCAATGCCAGCGATGCCCCCCGCATCCCCTGATCATGTTGTGCCTCCAGCCAACCCTCCCACAATTGAGCCCGAGACATTGGAGCATGCTGTGGTTGAACCAGTTGTGGCAGCAACACCCCCCGAGCATCCACCCGCTCCCGATGCAGCAGCCGGACCCCCAGCCACCCTTGCAGCTGGAACAGTTCAGCAGGACCAGCAAGAGATCCAAGCAGAGTCAGAGGCCATTGCGCTTCCCATATGTCTCATTTGCCAGGACGGAATGGATCCCACGAGTGTTGCTTGCTTCAGCTCCATCTCCAGTGTAGACCTTGTGAGTGTTGTGATGTCCTCATTTGACAATTTGTTTTGGTTGCTAGGACACCATGGATGAGGGGGAACAAGTCTTGCTCCGGCTCCACTGCGGGCATTGGTTTCACGAAGACTGCATCCTGCGCTGGGCGGAATCGACAAACAGCAGACCGGGAAGTCGTTGCCCACTACGTTGCGCGATTCCGGAGCCGATGGACGTGGATGAGGGAAATCGCAATGGTCAGGAGGCCGACCATGGCTTCGAGATCCTGGAGAACACTGAACCCAATACAATTTTTGCTTGAGTGGCAGTAACTCAGTAGATCAATTCAGCAGTTGCACAGCATTTCATTGTCTTGCATGGGTATGGATGGCACATTAAAGTGACAACCAATTCAATCCTAAATACAATTTTCACAGGGAGACCAAAGCACGCCAATGGCTGTTGCACTGATGACGATTACTGGATGCTGCATTGCCGATTGCGGCTCATTTCAGTTCCGACACAAGGCTGTCTTCAAATCCGTGAGGGGTTCGCGGAACAAGGGCGAAAAAAATTGCAATTGCACTCATGGCCAATACCTTCACAAGTTCTCATGTGGTTGTTCGGTGCAGACATTTTGTCATGTTTCTGTAGCTTCAATTTCGCCTGGGATGTTCCACCTAAATAATAAGAGGGACATTTCCCCCCACGTTAAGGCAATGTGTGAACTGTAAAATTACATGGCTCAACATTTGTGCAATAGGACTTTGACATTTAAAATCGCAAAGTTACAGTACACATAATATGTGACCATGGCTGAGCCATGTTTCCAGCATGTGCCCGCAAATGCAGACTCTTTGGTCAGGGAAGGTCTTGCTGTGGCTTTTGGCCCGGTGGCATATCGCAATCCTGATGATTCCCAGCTGTACTGGGATCTGCAATATGTCATGGACAAGCTTATGGAGAATGGCGAGCAAAACGCTCTGACGAAACATGCCAAAACACTGAAAGACCTTTGCTTGTCCGAGGATATCCTGGCAGAGAAAGATT